TCTCTCTCTCTCTCTCTCTCTCTCTCTCTCTCTCTCTCTCTCTCTCTCTCTCTCTCACCCCCCCCCTCCCTCTCTCATCTCCTGCTTTCTCTCACCATGTGATCTGCTGGAACCATCAGCTCCCTGCCACTTTCTGCTAAAAGTAGAAGCAGCCTGAGGCCCACACCAGATGCAGCTGCCCCAGACTCACAAGCCAAATAAACCTACTTTCTTTATAAATTACCCAGCCTCGGGTATTCTGTTATAGCAACACAAAACAGGCTAATACACTTAATAATTTACAGTCAAGATCGATCACTTGAAACTTAGACATTGCTGTGGACTCTTGCTTATTTCTTTCTGGATGTGAATTATATCTTGTCTGTCCAAATAGGTTCTGAACTCTTTGGGGGATGTTGCTCAGGCTTATTTGTTGCAAATTTTTTTTCTCATTTTTATTTTTCTTCTTCTAGATTCTCCTTTAATAGTGGGCCTCACAATTCAGCCTTCCAAGGATCACTTAGGAAGCTGGTTAATCATTTTTAATGACCTGGTTCATGGACCACATATAGGGAATCACGGCCATAGAGTGTCTCTGGCAGCACAATACTTTGTACTCTCAAGGTACTCATATTTTGACTGACATTCTACATTTATAAAAAGAAACTCTAAACTTCAGAAATGCCAAATTAGGCCACTATTAAAGAGAGACTAGTTCTAAAAATAACTCAGCTATCTAGGGATTTTAAATATAGAAATTTTTTTTAGTCTTGAAAATTTGAAACCCTTGTCCTAATACCTAAGCTTATTATCCCTTTAATAACTGGTTCTCAAGTTGTTCTTGGGAATGGTGGCACCCTGATTATACTTTCTTTGAGTCGAGTACAAAGCCCTTACCTCCTTCACATGTAGCCACCGTGTGGCCGCCGAACAGACATTCATTGAACACCCACTGCTATGTGCTGGACGCTACACCAGATGCTGATATTGCAGGGACTCAGTCCCCAAGGACTTCACAGTTCAATTTAATAAGGAGGCAATTCTTTCTAATTTGAGGTAAATATATGCTCTTGCAGATATGCTTAGAATTTCCAAAAATATTCAGAGACAACCAATTATGCCCTATGAGTGAAAA